TACTGTACCCAGAAATTATGAGTATTGGTATTTGTTAACAAACAATTGGGAACATCTACTATGCAGCTGAGGATAAGAATAGCTACTCTAGATAAAAATAGAAATTGCAACATATGGATATGAGTTTTTTCAAGGTAAAAGCTGTCTGTATTCAGAGAATCTCAGTGTCCACACTGAAATGCACTAGTGCTGACTTAGGCCCAATATACATTTCTAGACATATTTAATCATGCCCATTAAGCCCTGTGACATGTTTATACCCCTTATAAATGCATATATAATTCTTGATATATTTTATCACGAAGGGAAGGCACTTGGATCTTTTCTCTGAAATGTGGTTGATAGAGATTGACTAGAATTACAACCGAGAAAGAGACAACATTGAAAGTAGTTTTTTAAAAAATAAACCATTGCTAAATGTTTAATGTTGTGGTCAAAGTCTCTGCTTGGAAAGTAAATAAGCACATTTTTGAACATGTGATGCAATGTAGTTTCAGGAATACAAAATCCTTGGACTCTGAATCCAGGTCTCTTTTGTTTAATTTACAAATTAGGATAAGAAATGCTATAAAGTCATTAACAGTTTCAAAGACGAGGTCCTATGTTACTTGTGAAAAAAAATGTTGTTATTTTATATATTCTTAAATTCTCAGATATGCCTGATCATGATTGTTAAAATATATTAACAGCGTGCTAAGTGTAACATTAAATCCAAGAGTGGCCAACCTTTGCTGGTAAGTAGAAACCCCCAAAATACAAGACAGCCACTTGATTTGCCAGAATTCCGTAGATTTTTTTCTTAATGGTGTTTCCATTTGTTCTGCCAAATAAAATTTCAATGGTAAGTTTAAGTGTGTCCTTAAAACTGTCATTTAACATTGGTTGGCAGCCAGCCCCTCAATTATTTTCATAGGTTAGTTTTGGGAATATGAATTGAAGTACGTGGAGGGAAGATAGATCAGTCAATGGATTAATCAGATGGTGCTGAAGTTACATGGACTAATTTTCACCTCTGGAAGGTGAAAATAATTGAAAGGTAGAATTGCATTTTATCTCCCTAAGAGACTTGTTCATTAGGGCCATGGGTGTTTCTGGGAGAGGTTTAGGATATCTTGTTGTTCTCAGACATGTTCAAGTTTGGCCAGAAGCAGTGGCTCATGTGTGTAATCTCAGCACTTTGGGAGGCTGAGGTGGGCAGATCACTTTAGTCCAGGCGTTTGAGACCAGCCTGGCCAACATAGCGAAACTCTGCCTCTACTAAAAATACAAAAATGATCTGGGCATGATGGTGAGTTAACAAGAATCATAATTCTAAAATTATGATTAATAATAAATTAATCATAATTATAACAATCATGATTTATTAATTATGCAGATTACATTCATTCTCTTTGTATTAATTGTATAAACAAGGGGAATTTTTACTAGCCAAAGAGTAAACATCAAAGTGTAATCACAAACACATGTGACAGCCCACAAACGCTGTCAATCTAAGTTTGATTTAGTGCTTTCTCCATTTTCCTGTCACCATTATTTTGCATAATTTTTCAAAGTTCAGTAGCTGGGAAATAGGAGCTCAGTGTCAATGACGGCAGAGTGTGTAGGGTCAAGCTTGCATTCCTTTTTAGGGGGTGATGCAAATAAAATTTGAGGCCTCATCTCCAGTTTAAAAATCACACCTCATTAAAAGGACTCTCAAGAAAACCATGACAAGGGTACATCTTTCTTTTTTTTTCTCTGTCTCTCTCTCTTTCTTCCTTCCTTTTTCCTTCCTTCTTTCCTCCCTTTTTCTTTTTCTTTCTGTCTTCCTTTCTGCCTTTCTTTTTCTTCTTTATTAGTTTTTAAATGATTTCAAATCTCAAACATACAGAAAAATTGCAAGAATAGAACACAAACGTCCTTGTTCTCTTTACCCAGAGATCCTAGAACCCTCCCATTCAAGGGTCACCAAATGCCCCCTCGGGCCCATACTGTGCACTCACTTTTCACGTCCCCCTGGGTCCCCAGGTCTTTCTTTGCCTTTCATGGCATTTGCCCTTTTGAAGCCGACAGGGCAGCCATTTCGCATGGCGTCCTTTGATCTGTGGGCACAGTGCTTTCTCATGACACAATCCAGGTTGCTCTGCTTTTGGCAGGAATACCGTAGGAGTGATGCCATGTGTTCCCCTTGCATCCTCTGTTGGGGGGCATACATACCAATTTGTCCCATTATTGGTGGCATTAATTTTGATTACTTATTTAAGATGATGTCTACCAGGTTCTTCCCCTCTAAGTTTCTCTTTGTCTCCTTTGTAATAAATAGTTATTTTATATGGAGACACGTTTAAGGCTGTATGAACCTTTCTCATCCTACTTGTCTCCCTGGTTTTGGCATCAACTGATATTTCTTTGCCAGAATTACATATTTCTATAATTATTTCCAAATTATGATTTTCTAAGTCCAGTATTTCTACTATATGAATTCTGTGGCATTATACTCTAATGTGAAGAACTTTCGTCTCTCTCCACATGGTTGTTAATCTATTTATTACTATCACTGTGGACTCACTGATTCCTATTTTATTCAGTGGATTATAATCCATTGCTATTATTACATATTTGGACATGCAAACTGTAACAGATTTGACCAGAGAAAGCCCCTTTCTGTTTTTTTTTTTTCTTTTTTTCGACAGAGTCTTACTGTGTCACCCAGGCTGGAGTACAGTGTCACGATCTTGGCTCACTGCAACATCTGCCTCCCTGGTTCAAGCAATTCTCCTGCCTCAGCCTCCCAAGTAGCTGGTGCCACCACGCCAGACTAATTTTTGTATTTTTAGTGGAGACGGGATGTCACCATGTTGGCCAGGCTGATCTGGAACTCCTGACCGTGTGCTCCACTTGCCTCAGCCTCCTGAAGTGCTGGGATTACAGGCATGAACCACCTTTCCAGGCCAAGAGAGCTGCTTTAAAATGGCTTCTCTGTCCTTTGGACGTGTCCCTGTCATTCTCTGAGCATTACCTAAGTTGTTCAAAATGGCGTTCCAGGCTTATCTTGTACTTTTTTCTGACTCAGTTCAAGAATCAGCCAATTTTCCAGGGAACTTTGGTGTGTTTCAATGATGAATTATATTTATTTATTTAGACAGAGTCTTGCTCTGTTGCCCAGGCTGGAGTGCAGGGTTGGGATCACGTCGGCTCACTGCAACCTCTGCCTCCCAGGTTCAAGCAATTCCCCTGCCTCAGCCTCCTGAGTAGCTGGGATTACAGGCACCTGCCATCATGCCTGGCTAGGTTTTGTAGCTTTTGTAGAGACAGGGTTTAGTTGAGGTTTTTCTAGAGACAGCCTAGCCATGTTGGCTAGGCTGGTCTTGAACTCCTGACCTCAAGCTATTTGTCCACCCAGGCCTTCCAAAGTACTGGAATTACAGGCATTTGCCACCATGCCCAGCCGAGAACTGCATTTACCAACCAGGATTTGGGCACTGTGTGTGCTCATTGCTGCTGGATATACTGCTGCTCCCAGGTTATCCTAGTGGACAGAACTAAGAATTATATGTATATTCAGGCATATATTCACACATATGTACATACCAGTATCTGTATCTGTATATATATGCACAATTTGTACTGCCTCCATTTTCGATCCAACACCTCAAGGTTCATGCTAACTTTCCTTCTTTCCACATCGTTACTTCTCTTAGTCAGTGAGAAACCTGACCCCCATTATCCTCAATATATTTGCTTGTTTGCTCAATTCCCCATATGTAGCTAAGCTTGTGACACCATCATGCTGCCATCCTTACACCGAGAACCATGACTGCCACCTTCAGGTTTTCCTTGTGATTTTTAGACTGAATTAGGATGAAAAGAAGGAGGGAGGGAGGGAGGGAGGGAGGGAGAGAGAGAAGGAAGGAAGAAAGGAATGAAGGAAGGAGGGAAAGAAGGAGGGAAGAAAGAAGGAAGGGAGGGGAAAAAAGGAGGAAAGGAGTGTATAGTTTTTCAGTTGAGGTATAATTAAGAAAATGCACAGATCTTAAATATTTGGCTTGATGACTTTTAAAAATTGCATGTACCCAAGTAACAACCACCTAAAACAGAATATAAAGTATTTCTACCTCCCCACCCCAAGTTTCATCATGCAAAGGAGCCCATCCACCAGGAAACCATTTAAAACCCTTCTCCTTTTCCTCTCCTCTCAATATCAAGCACTCAGTTTGTAGCTGTTGCCAAAAACATTCTCTTCTCAATTTTAACCTTTTTTCAAATTTTCTTTAACTGATGACCAACCGGTTTGTTTCTCTCTCCTTTTCCCCATCTACTTCAGATCTTACTATATAGAACAACTTGGTGCCTCCTGACTTCAATAGTTTTCTTTCTTCTTCACTCGTCGAGGAAATTCTCCACACTAAAGCAGAACCTAGGAGTTCTCCAGAGAACAAGAATCTCCTTCCCCTTAGAAGGACAAAAGGGGAAGGACCAGTGTTATTTCACTTTAGCGGCAGCACACACTACTCTTCTTATCATGGAACACAATGTTCATTTTAAATGTAGTTTAAGCATCATCTGCCTGACAGATGGAGATTTCTCAAGCTGATGTGTCTCAAGGAACTTTAGATGTGTGGATATAAACCAAGGTCCCTCAAATGAAAGCAAGCAGAGGTTATTTATTCAGAGTTGGCTATAGCAAGGGAGGCAGCCATTAATAGTTGTGTCTGGCAGGGACTTAAAGTCAGGTGGAGGAGCGGGAATGCTTTATAAAGGAGAAAAGGGAAGGCTTCAGGTATGCTCCAGTGGATTGCTGGCATGGGGAAGATGGAGGGAAACTAACTAGAAGCGGGGTGTCCAGGTGATTGGTTAGAGAAATATGTTTGGATTTCTCTGGTTGGCCTTAAGTTGGGCCAGCTGCTGTAGAAGTTGCAGGTTTGGCTTTCTAGACTGGGGTCTACAGATGTGTGGATCAGAATTCTTTTTTTGCGTATGGCCTGGACATTGTCCATTTAGATATCAATTTTTTTTTTTAGAGCAAATCATGTAGAAGATAACCAGCGAATCAAGGATGCCCCCACCACCGGAACCCTCTCAAGGCACATCAGCGTTCGTCCATTCTCTTGTCCTGCTCAACATTTTTTCTTCTTCAAGTCCCAAGTTGCTAATTTCATATCAACTTTCAAATTCCTAAAATAGATCTAGAAATCTGTCTGGACAGATCTAAGACATATAAAGAGTGGATGGGCAGGACTTTGCATTGATTTGACATGAGAACAGATAGAAGATTCAAGGAGAGCCCTAAGGTCCTAACCAGAGCTACGGGAGCTCGTGAAAGAGGATGTTGAGCTCAGTTGTAAGGGAATTAAAGTTGTAAGTGGCTCCTTGAAGACATTCTTTATAATCAAACATCTGAAAACTGGAACATCGTTTTAGAGAGGTGGAGACGAGAAAAGAGAGTGTTTGTCCAAAGTTTATACACCAAGGCTGTGGGTGAAACAGGAGCTTTGATTTTGTGGTGTTCCATCTACAACATACACAAAACAAAAGATGGAGAACAAGAAGTCCACGCAACCCAGGAAACACCAAGTTTCTGTCAAAAGCAATAACGAACTGTTTTGTGCCATTAACAAAAACGTTATGAAGACAGAAACCATCTCCCAAAGATTTCATAACAGAGCCACACAGTGAAGAGTAAATGATTAAAGAATGTGGGTCTCAGAGTTCCATTCAAGTAATGATACTTTATCTTCCTTCTGTTTACAAAGATAAAAGTACACCAGAAAATGATTAATGTTTAATCGCTTTTATATTTGCCTCTGTTTTCTCAGCAGAAGAAAACCACTTTGGGAGTGCCTGTGTGAATCATCCACAATGGTTTCTCCAGTGCTCATCTTGTTCTCGACTTTTCTCTGCCATGTTGCTATGGCAGGACGGAGTAAGTACTTTTTGCTGTTAAAAAATAAAGATGTCAACCCCCTAGTATATATCAGGAATCAGTAATGATAACTAGGCCGAGTGCGGTGGCTCACACCTGAAATCTCAGCATTTTGGGAGGCTGAGATGGATAAATCACCTGAGGTCAGGAGTTCAAGACCAGCCTGACCAACATGGTGAAACCCCATCTCTACTAAAAATACAAAAATTAACCAGGCTTCGTGGTGGGCACCTGTAATCCCAGCTACTTGGGAGGCTGAGGCAGGAGAATCGCTTGAATCCAGCAGGTGGAGGTTGCAGTGAGCCAAGATCCTGCCATTTCACTCCAGCCTGAGCAACAAGAGCAAAACTCCATCTCAAATAAATAAATAATAATGATAACTAAATTTTCTTTATGGTGGATGCTGGAGAGACTGGATTGATACTGATTATTTAATATTGTTATGTGTAAAGCTCCTCTGTAAGATATGTAGCCAATTTAAGCCTCAGCATACTGACCTGTAAAATGAGGATAATTATAGTACCTCCTTCAAATGGTTGTTGAGGAGATTAGATGAGATATCGTATATGAGGTATTTGGCATGGGACTTGGTGTACTTATAATTGGTAATGGTGCACGCATTTTTTATTTGTGGGCTTAGCTGAACTTTAAAATGCAAATAAAGATTGGTTACCCATCTGCTTTGTGCTCTCTTTCAGCTTGTCCCAAGCCAGATGAGTTACCATTTTCCACAGTGGTCCCATTAAAAACAACCTATGAGCCAGGAGAGGAGATTGTGTATTCCTGCAAGCCAGGCTACCTGTCCCGGGGAGGGATGAGGCGCTTTACCTGCCCTCTCACAGGAATGTGGCCCATCAATACTCTGAAATGTACACGTAAGTCAGCACCTTCTCTCACATTCTCTCCCCGCATCTGGATTCTAGATATTTTGGGGCAGTAAGCTACCTCGTCATGCTCAGTGTGCGGAGGGCCAGTAGACACTGCAGAAAGGCAGGTTGGAGAGAAATGAGATGGTCTTGGGGTTCTCTATGTACAAAGAGAGTAAGGGTAATTGCTGCTATTGATAGAAGAGGAGAAGATCCTTGCCTGGAACTAGGGCAGGTTTAAAAATGAGACCTGGCATGACAAAAGGAGAAAGAAACACTACAGAGGTTAAAAGAATGGTGGAGAGACTTTGAAATGTCAACTGATGCCAAAGAGACATTTGAAAAACAAAACTTGAGGAATCAGCATATCTTTGGACTTTGAAAATGAAAGCAGACTTAATAGTTACTGAAATGAATACTAATTTCATCTACATTATGTATATGATATAAATTATAAAATACAAGAAAGTATATTAAATTAAATAATACAAATTATACCAATCTCACTATAGCTTTGTTGTAAGTGGTTGCCTTTATTTATTTCTTAGAACACGGTTCTATATCATGCTAGCAGTATTCTTTACAGGCAAGTATCATGAAATCAACCAGATTGAATTTATAGTAAATTCAATTATTCATAAACGTTAAGCAGTAAAAATAGGCATATGGACCTGTCTGGGCTCTGGTTATTTTCGTTATATGAGCACGACCTTTGTCAAAATCATGCATGTTCATGCAAGTTGATTTTACTATGCTTTTTGTTTAAAGAGTCTAAACATAATTTTTAATAAAAAGCCACTTTAACATCATTAGGGAAAATTTTTCTTTAAATCAGGGCCAGGTGCGGTGGCTCATGCCTGTAATCCCAGCATTTTGGGAGGCTGAGGCGGGTAGATCACCTGAGGTCAGGAGTTCAAGACCAGCCTGGCCAACATGGTGAAAACCCATCTCTACTAAAAATACAAAAATTAGCTGGGCATCGTGGCTCACACCTGTAGTCCCAGCTACTCAGGAGGCTGAGGCAGGGGAATCACTTGAACTCAGGAGCCTGGGTGACAGAGTGAGACTCTGTCTCAAGGAAAAGAAAATCAGCTATAATTCTGGAACACTAACAATTTTATTTTTTTATTTTTCATGCATATACATTTGCATCATTTCAGAGAGTAGGTATAATTTTGTATTTTTCTATTTTTATCAGCATAAAAATTGTATCTCCACAACTTCATAATTCATATTTTATTGGCTATATAACAGTTCAACTATTGATTTACCGTGAGTAATTAAAACTGTCCCCTGACAGTGAACACTTAGACTGTCTCAGATTTTTTTTTTTTTTTCGGAGATGGAGTCTTGCTCTGTTGCCCAGGCTGGAGTGCAGTGGTACAATCTCAGCTCATTGCAACCTCTGCCTCCTGGGTTCAAGCTATTCTCCTGCCTCAGCCTCCTGAGTAGCTGGGATTACAGGTATGCACTATCATGCCTGGATACTTTTTGTGGTTTTAGCAGAGATGGGGTTTCACCTTGTTGGCCAAACTGGTCTCAAACTCCTAACCTCAAGTGATCCGCCCACCTCGGCCTCCCAAAGTGCTGGGATTACAGGTGTGAGCCACTGTGCCAGGCTTGTTCAAATTTTGTTATTAGGAGACACAGTGTAATGAACGCTTTGGTACGTATGTCACTTGTCTCATTTTGAATTGCTTTCTCAGAATAGTTACTAGTAAAGTCATTGAACCAAAGGATGAAAATGAATGTATATGTTTTATTTAATAAAAAATTCTATAAATAGAAATGTACCCGTTTATCTTTAAAAAAAAAAACAAACAAAAGTAACATTTTTTTATCTTTATATCACAGCCAGAGTATGTCCTTTTGCTGGAATCTTAGAAAATGGAGCAGTACGATATACAACTTTTGAATATCCCAACACAATCAGTTTTTCTTGTAATACTGGGTAAGAACTTTCATGGGACTGAGCAGTTAACAGACAGAGCGTATTTCTGTAACCTTAAGCTAAACTTCAGGACTGGTCCATATTTTGTTTTCAGCCTTTAGGTTGGACTTGTCAATTTCAAATTGATCTCAGTCCTGCTTTTAATATATACTACAGTAGTATTGAGGGTGGGGTAAAGACTGGAGAATATAACAACTAATGAAATACGAAGTCAACACTTTATCTAATTTTTCTGCTTCTGATTAATTACCTATCTGAGGAGGTACATTGAAATGATTTGGAGGGCCAAATCTTGGCATAGGGTTAAAATACTTTAGGAATAAGACTTGGGCTTTAGGTATCAGGCTAATTTGATTGACGAACCTGGTAGTCTCTAGAGGAGAATTCTATGGAGAAGGTTGGGAATGCGATGATGGGGAACGCGATACAGTGCCACATCCCCAGGAAGCAATTACTTATGGTAGGCACAGGCCCGCAGGGAGCAAAGACACCCCTGTGACATTACTGAGAGCACACTGGCTATCCATTAGGGTAAGTTTCTACTGGGATTGGAGGTTGAGAAACACTACATGTGAGAGAGAAATACACACCTTTCATCTGAAACACAAATTTACCAATGGGTCTGAAAACAAATGACCTTAAAAAATTGGCTTTAAAGACAGAATGTTACATTTTCTTCTTTTTCTTTCTTACTTTTTGCTCTGTCACCCAGGCTGAAGTGCAGTGGCACGATCTTGGCTCATTGCAACCTCTGCCTCCTAGGTTCAAGCAATTCTCCTGCCTTAGCCTCCCAAGTAGCTGGGATTACAGGCGCCTGCCACCACACCCAACTAATTTTTGTATTTTTAGTAGAGAAAGGGTTTCCCCATCTTGGCCAGGCTAGTCTTGAACTACTGACCTTGTGATCCATCCACGTTGGTTTCCCAAAGTGCTGGGATTACAGGTATGAGCCACCACATCCTGCTCGCTCTTTTTTTCTTTCTTTCTTTCTTTGTCTCTCTCTTTCTTTCTTTCCTTCTTTCTTTCTTTCTTTCTTTCTTTCTTTCTTTCTTTCTTTCTTTCTTTCTCTTTCTCTTGTTTCTTTCCTTCTTTCTTTCTCTTCCTTTTTCTTTCTCTCTCTTTCTCTTGCTTCTTTTTCTTTTCTTTCTCTTTCTTCTTTCTTTCTCTCTCCTTCCTTCTTTGTTTCTTTTGTTTGTTTGTTTGATTGATCTTGCCCTGTCACTCAGGCTAGAGTGCAGTGGCACAATCATGGCTCACTGCAGCCTCGACCTCCTGGGTTGTTGAATCCTTTTGAATCCTTCCTCCTACCTCTACCTCCCAAGTAGCTGGGACTATAGGCCTGCACCACTATGCCCCAGTGATTTTTTTGTAGAAAATGGGGCTTCACCACGTTGCCCAGGCTCAAACTTTTGGGCTTAAGTGATTCAGCCTCCCAAAGTGCTGGGATTACAGGCATGACCCAAAGTACCCAGTCAGAATTTGATATTTTCAATGGAAATTGACTGCATTGTTTTTATACAGTGGTGTCAGTAGGCTCTAAGGAAATGAATAGTGGAGATTATTCAGTGTGACTCACTTTTGTCATCCTGAAAAAGAGATGGTTCTTTGCTTTATGTAAGAAGCATTAATCTTGGCCAATTCTTTAAAAATGAGGGACTTAGGGGTTTGGCTTCTCCACTCACCAGCTGTGGAACCCTGCAGTGATTCACCTGCATCATTGGCTGGAAGCCATAGATGAGTGCTGAGATCCTCAGGAAGACAGCATTATAAGATGGAAAATAAGTCAATAGCATGAATATAAAGCAATGGTCAATGGAGAAGGTATTTGAGACGTCAGTGATGGAGTATTTTGCTCCTTGACAGGTTGAATTTTTCTTTTGCAGGTTTTATCTGAATGGCACTAGTTCTGCCAAGTGCACTGAGGAAGGAAAATGGAGTCCACAGCTTCCCGTCTGTGCTCGTAAGTCTGGGGGGAAGGTAATTAGCTGGTTTGTCCAGAACTTTCCTGGTTTTAGCACTGGAAGTCTCACATGTGGAAACTCTTCAGTCCCAGCTCAATGAGATGAATGGTCACTCTTGTGGGGGATGTTCATTCTGATCTCTTGGCCTAGAAGATGAAACAACCACTTTGGAATGATAGGAGGGAGGCATTTTACTTACGGACTTATTCTGTATTCTCCACCTGGTGGTCATGACTCTTTTCAAGACAGTCATTACTGAGTGTGTTGACGCCAATGCTCTCATGGTGCTTTGGAAGGGGCTTTGATTTGTGTGGCTTTGGTCTATCACTTAACTAGGGGAACTTCTGCAAACAGTGAGATCAAACAAACATCTTTCTCCCACTCTGGAACTTCATTCATTTATTTATTCACTTATTCAATAATCATGAAAACTGGTGTGGTGGCTCACGCCTGTAATCTCAACACTTTGGGACCCCAAGGTGGGTGGATCACAAGGTCAGGAGTTCGAGACCAGCATGGCCAATATGGTGAAGCCTGTCTCTACTAAAAAAAAAAAAAAAAAAAAAATTAGCCAGGCATGGTGCATGCCTGTAATCCCAGCTACTCAGGAGGCTGAGGCAGGAGAATCGCTTGAACCCAGGAGGCAGAGGTTGTGGTGAGCCGAGATTGTGCCATTGCACTCCAGTCTGGGGAACAAAAGCTAAACGCTGCCTCAAAAAACAAAACAAAAAACAACAGAAAAAAAACATTAATTGAGGATCTGCTGTATGCTGTTGAGGATTCTGTTGTTAGCATTGAGGCTGCAAGGCCAAAGGAGACAGCTCTGCCTTCAGAGAGTAAGCCTAGTTATAAGGAGGAAAGTCACCCTCACAGTAAGCTAAGAGCCCATCAAAGGGGCTTGCATTCTAGGAGCTGACTGGAATTTCTCCAAAAAACACTGATGTTTTTTCAGATGATTCTCAGCCAAGCTGTCGGCGTCATCTCTGGGCTTTGCTTACGTAGGGAAGGACATTCTTATGTTCCCCAACTTGTAATTTACACATCTTTATTTTATTTTATTTTATTTTTTTGAGGTGGAGTCTTGCTCTGTTGCCAGACTGGAGTGCAGTGACGCAATCTTGGCTCATTGCAACCTCTGCCTCCTGGGTTCAAGCGATTCTTCCGCCTCAGCCTCCCAAGTAGCTGGGACCACAGACGTGTGCCACCACACCTGGCTAATTTTTGTATTTTTAGTAGAGATGGGGTTTCACTATGTTGGCCAGGATGGTCTTGATCTCTTGACCTTGTGATCCACTTGCCTTGGCCTCCGAAAGTGCTGGGATTTACAGGAGTGAGCCACCACGCCCGGCCAGTTTATACATCTTTGACCAGGAGGCCAAGGCATTATAATACTAGTTATAGTTCTTCAATGAGGTCCATCCTTAGTAACAGCAAGTGGAAAGTAAAGCAATTTCAAATAAATATTAGTTTAAGAAAAACTGAACAAGCAAAAATAAAAGCTTTTAAGGGATATGAAGTAAAAATTTTCACTCAGCAGTAGGAATCACTGTGGTTCCTATAGTTTTCATTTAAAACAGATTTATACTAATTATGTAAATTTGCTTCTTTATTTAGAGACAGGGTCTTGCTCTGTTGCCCAGGCTGGAGTGCAGTGGCATGATTACAGCTCACTACAATCTCCTCCTCCCAGGTTCAAGCGATCCTCCTGTTTCAGCTTCCTGGGCAGCTGAGACTATAGATGTGTGCCCACATTTGGCTAATTTAAAAAAAATTTTTGTAGAGACAGGGTCTTGCTCTGTGACTCAGACTGGTCTCAAACTCTTGGTTTCAAGCAGTCTTCCTGCCTCCGCCTCTAAGAGCTCTGGTATTACAGGCGTGAGCCACGGTGCCTAGCCATAAATTCACTTTTCAAAAGGGTTATAAATAGAAAGGCTACTTTCGCTTTAATCTAATTTAAATGAGTATTTCTCATACTTGAATGGACATGTGAGTCTCCTGGGCATCTTGTTAAAATGTAGATTCTGACTCAGGTGTCTGTGGTGGGATATGACCTTCTGCATCCTGGCAAGCTCCCAGGTAATGTACATGCTGCTAGCCCTTGGAACACACTTTGATCAGCAGGGATCTAGAGAATTCAAGGTAAATCACATTTTGGTGATTACCATCTTCTATTACACTAATGTAACTTTCCCTGAACTTGTTGAAGCTCCGTATTACTCAGGTCAGGGTGACAAGCCACTGCTCTCTCTCTGGGTTCCTGAAGCTACTTGAGTAAGCTCCTTCCATACCAAGAGTCCAAAAGCAGGAAGGTAGTCTACAGAAACAGACTGAACGGGTAATGAACTCATTCCCAAGCAACTATGTACCAAGTTGCTGTCACCAGCCATTATTTTAGGATGATCCCTCAGCACCGAGTGACCAATTCTGCCTTCCAGAAGTATCTTCCAAGGTAGTATTTGAATCAAAGATTTTTGAAAACCTAACCATTGTGTTGTTGCAAAAGGCAAATTATTTGTGCTAAGACTTAAATGTACTTCATTTTTTGGCATTTTGACTGGTGGATATCTGATTTGAGGGTCATATTTTCTTTTCTTTTTTCATTCTTTTCTTTCTTTCTTTCCATCTTTCCTTCCTTCCTTCCTTCCTTCCTTCCTCCTCTTCCTCCTCCTCCTCCTCCTCCTCCTTCTCTCTTTCTTTCTTTCTTTTTCTTTTTCTTTCTTTCTTTCTTTTTCTTTTTCTTTCTTTCTTTCTTCTTTTTTTTCTTCCTGAGACAAAGACTCACTCTGTTGCCCAGGCTGGAGTGCAGTGGCGCAATTTTGGCTCACAGTAACCTCCTCCTCCCAGGTTGAAGTGATTCTCCTGCCTCAGCCTCTGCAGTTGCTGGGACCACAGGCATATACCTCCATGCCTGGTTCATTTTTGTATTTTTGGTAGAGATGGGGTATCACTGTGTTGGTCAGGCTGGTCTGAAACTCCTGACCTCAAGTGATCTGCCCGCCTCAGCCTCCCCAAGTGCTGGGATTATAGGTGTGGGCCACTGTGCCCAGCAGGTCATATTTCCCTAACAGGCATCCACAAGTGACGATTTTTGCCCTGGTAATTTGATCAGTTTGGATTTTCTCAAGTTTATCCTTAGGGTTTTTTTTCTTTCTGTAAAGAGTATATTCAATAGTCTTAACTATTTTCATAGAAATGATAGTTCTTTCTTTTTCCAGCCATCACCTGCCCTCCACCATCCATACCGACATTTGCAACACTTCGGGTTTATAAGCCATCAGCTGGAAACAACTCCCTCTATCAGGACACAGCAGTTTTTCAATGTTTGCCACAACATGCGATGTTTGGAAATGACACAATTACCTGCACATTGCATGGAAATTGGACTAAATTACCAGAATGCAGGGGTACGTGCAATAAGACAAAATATGTATGATAGGGCAGGATCCCTTTTTGAAAGGTATTGAAAATTTCGACTGTCATGGAGTGTTTCCAATGAACTCCTTCAACAGCTGTTTATTGAGCATCTACTATGTGCCAGGCAGTGTGCTGGGCATTGGATATTCCAGATGAGTGAGACCTGGCTTCTGACCCAAGGGAATTACAAATAATGCAATGAACTATCTGGAGCTGCCTGGGACAGCTTCCCGTAGGTGGCGATCCTTGAAATGGGCCTTGGAGGAGGAGTAGAGAATGAAGAGAAGGCATACCACATGGGGGCACAGCATGTGCAGACAGGGAGGTATGAAAGGGCAGGATGTATCCGTGGACAGCTGAATATTTCAGTGAGGCTGGTGAAGTTCTCTTCTGGGTAAAGTTCCTGGGTTAAATTGGAGACTCGTAGGAGATGAAGGTAAAGCCTGGGTTGCAGTCTGATTGTCACATGTTTTTAAAATCTTTACCCATTAAGAATCACAGAAATATTTGATTTTTAAGAAATTATGAAAATGATTTATCCTTTAACTTGATCCATCATTACTATCTTTAAGTTTGTCAGTTGCATAACAAATTGTAAAGTTTGCCTTGTGCACAAATAGTGTTTTTGTTTTTGTTTTTGATAGAGTCTTGCTCTGTCACCCAGGCTGGAGTACAGTGGGGAGATTTTGGCTCAATGCGACCTCTGCCTCCTGGGTTCAAGTGATCCTCATGCCTCAGCCTCCTGAATAGCTGGGATGACAGGTGCCCATCACCACAGCTGGCTAATTTTTGTATTTTTAGTAGAGACGAGGTTTCACCATGATATCAGGCTGGTCTTAAATGCCTGGCCTCAAGTGATCCATCTACCTTGGCCTCCCAAAGTGCTGGGATTACAGGTGTGAGCCACTGCTCTTGGCCAAGAGTTATTCTAATGACTATTAACTTCTCCAGTAGTAGATATTCCAGATATCCAGTGAATGATTCAAAATGTAAGTGATTTTCAGCATGGGGGAGCTACTGATAACTAATAACTTGCACCTTCCTGGGCACTCAGCTACGGGCCAGGCACTGGTCTCCTGCTACATTTGTGTCATCTGACTTTATTCTCCAAAGTCCTAAGCAGTAGGTTCCTTTTTTTTTCAATGTTTCACCTCGATGTATCAATCAACTGCTAATATGTTGTGACATTTTTCTCTCTGTTTCTCCACAGAAAGATCCTTTTTCCCCCCTTTATTTTGAGATGAAGTTTTGCTCTTGTTGCCCAGGCTGGAGTGCAATGGCACCATCTTGGCTCACTGCAACCTCCGCCTCCTGGGTTCAGCTGATTCTTCTGCCTTAGTCTCCCGAGTAGCTGGGATTATAGGTGCCTGCCACCATTCCCGGCTAATTTTTGTATTTTTAGTAGAGATGGAATTTCACCATGTTGGCCAGGCTGGTCTCAAACTCCTGAACTCAACTGATCTGCCTGCCTCAGCCTCCCAAAGTGCTGGGATTACAGGCATGAGCCTAGTCTCCTGTAATTAAGAATAAGCCCCTGCCTCTTTTGTTGTCTTTCATTGACATTTTTGAAGAGTACAGGCTAGTTGTCTTGTAGAATGTTCCATAATCTGAATGTGATTAGATATTTACTCTTGATTAGGTTTATGGTAAGTATTATTGTTAAGAATACATTGTCACATCAGAAGGCACACACTGTCAGCTGTTCCATCACTTTGATCCTTAGTCAGGTGAGGTGTGGTAGATCACCTTTTGGTAAAGGCACTGCTTTGTCTTTGGAATTAGGAAGCAACCTGTGAGTGATAGTTTCAAAACCATGCGAATATCCACTGTCAGGCAGTCATTGTAGAATCCAATAATGATCTTTGAATCTAACAGTTATGGCACTGGTGGCTGAAAATGGTGACTTTCTAATTCTATCTTTCCTTCTACATTTATTCACTGGCTTCCCTCTATAGAGATGAGCTCTCCCTCCATCCACCATTTTTTAGTAATATTATAGACACATGGATTTTTTTTGAGGGGGAGGGAGTCTCACTCTGTTTCCCAGGCTGGAGTGTAATGGCACAATCTCAGCTCAGTGTAACCTTCAACTCCTGGGTTTGAGTGATTTTCCTGCCTCAGCCTCCTGGGCTGGGATTATAGGCATGTGGCACCACACCTGGCTAATTTTTATTAGTAGAGATGGAGTTTCACCATGGTGGTCAGCCAGGTCTCGAACTCTGAGCTCAAGTAATCCATCAGCCTCAGTCTCCCAGAGTGCTGGGATTACAGGGGTGAGCCACTGCATCTGGCCACGTGAATTCTTCTTTTATTTAATGTGTGGCAGAACCAAAATTGAGCCAAGCAGTCTGACTCTGGAGTTTATATTCTAAATTACCTCCTTAAACTACCTCTGAGAATATTGTGCTCCTGGCTCCAGCCTTTCTTTCTTGCACTGCAGTTCATAAGGACGTGGGTTTGGGGCTCTACTGTTGAGGATCTGAAGGAGGCCAGGAAGCAGCACCACTTTTCACTGACATATTTCATGCTGGCTTCTTTCATAGTCTGAATTGAATAACAGTAAGATTTACTATTTTAAAGCCAAATAATGGTGTGCTAAGTGTGCATGGGGTAAGGGGGTTCAGTCTTTGCATTTTAATTTTCTGGTTTGTTGATTGAAAGAAATAGACTTTGCTTTTCTTCTTTCAAACCCACCATCATAGACTGTGTAGAGATGAAGTTTGCAATAAATAATACCTTATGATTATATGTGAAAACACAGGGAACTTAGTGAAGTCTTATTAATTTACTTTCAAAGTGCAGTTGTTTCTTTTTTAATATTCAGGGTACCATGAATATAAGAGAAGTGGGGACAGAATTAAGCACAAGGTACCTATAAATTGCATTCCAGTTACAGGAACACACAGTGACTCAGTGGTGTGATAGAGACAAGAATGTAACTATTTCATGACTATTGGATAGCAGCACTACTATTTATTACTAATATGTCTTACTGAATAAATGTTTTAGAAGTAAAATGCCCATTCCCATCAAGGCCAGACAATGGATTTGTGAACTATCCTGCAAAACCAGCACTTTATTACAAGGATAAAGCCACATTTGGCTGCCACGATGGATATTCTCTGGATGGCCCAGAAGAAGTAGAATGTACCAAACTGGGAAACTGGTCTGCCATGCCAAGTTGTAAAGGTATGAAAACATAGGCAAGGTCCTAGAAGATCTCTTAATGTATACAGTGGATCAGCTTTACTTGCTATTTTCTTGTTCCAACACTTTTCCACTTGTTGCTCAGTCTTGGTAGGAAACCACTGGCATGTGACTTCAGGACTCACATGTGCATGGGGAAGCCTCATGCTTAGAAAGCATGCTTGACTTTAAACAGTATGAAATAAACAGATCCTTTGTAAGCAGTGATGATATGGTGGGAGATCTGTGGGCTTTTAAAATTTGCTTCTAAGTCTTTGCCTCTGAGCACCTTTATTTATTTATTTATTATTTTTTTGATATGGAGTCTTGCTCTGTCACCCAGGCTGAAGTGCACTGGCATGATCTTGGCTCACTGTAACCTCTGCCTCCCTGGTTCAAGCATTTCTCATGCCTCAACCTCACAAGTATCTGGGATTACAGGCACCCACCGCCATGCCCAGCTAATGTATTTTTAATAGAGATGGGATTTGGCCATGTTGGCCAGGCTGGTTTCGAACACCTGCCCTCAGGTGATCACCTGCCTTGGCCTCTATAGAGAAGATCTTGCCTTCTGTCCACCATTTTTTTAGTATTATTGTAAACAAATGGATTTTTTTTTTTTTTTTGAGATGGAATCTCACTCTGTTGCCCAGGCTGGAGTGTAATGGTGCAATCTCAGCTGACTATACCCTTCACTTCCCGGGTTCGAGTGATTACAGCATGAGCCACCATGCCCAGCCCTTGTGGTGCTCTGTCTAGCCAAGGCTCTTCTCATTGCAAAAACCAACCACACATCCGGGTGAGTTCAAGAAAATTGGAGATATTATAAAGAGGCAACAGGCAGTCGATCATGTGGGCATTGAAATATAATGTATTCCTTAGGACTGAAACTGAAAGGCAGGAATTATTCCTACTTTTTCCATATCTCAAGGGCCTCTCCCATCTCTGTCTCTCTGCTTATTCATCTTGAACATGGCTTGATATACATCAGACCCTCTCAGCTAAAGGAGTCATCACCAACTTGCAGCTTTTCCCTGAGATGCTGGTTCCTTTTGAGTTAGGTGTTTACCCTTGATCCCGTCAGTGTCATGCTTAAGCAAAGCAACAGCCTAGCATTAGAACTCTGCTCAGGTCGCTATGGGTTGGACAGTTTAAGCAGAAAGAGGAACTCTGGGGCAGCAGGCAAGATGACAAATAACTAGCATCTCAGGTTACAGTTCCCTAGAAGCAGAGCCTGAGACAGGGATTCGAATATAGCTGATTTAGTGGGTGTCTCAGGAGAAGAAAGAGTGAGGTAGATTTGAGAGGGTAAGGCACCGGTTCTCAAACTTCACTGTGCATCAGCAACATCTGGAAGCCTTGTTTTAACACAGGATTTTTGAGCTCCACTTTCAGAATTTCTGATTTGGTAGATCTGGGACGGGACCTGACAATTTGCATTTATGCCAAGTTCCCAGGCGATGCTAATGCTGCTGAGCGTGGGAGAATTTTGGTCTTTGCTAGAATGAGGTTCCGTTTGATCCCACTGGGAGCTCTGAAGTGTGAATCCCACCCTTGAGTTAATCCCACTGACAGCCAAGGGGACCTGCTTTTTTATATTCCCTCATCAGCAATTGACTTTGAGCTGCTCCCTTCCCTGACTCTGGGGGTGGTGATGGGGGTGGTTTACATAACCTCCTGGGAGAGGTGGCTTCCCTATGGCTGAAGGCAATTTTTCAGAGTATTTATGAGCTGTTATTAGTCAACACTCACAGTGACTGGCAGATAGATTCACCAGCTTAATGAATGAGATCTGAGAAGGCAGTGTAGGCTTACACGAAATGTCAATATCTGTTAGAAGTTTTTTTTTCACTGAAACGGAGGCTCTGATGCTTCTGTTCTGACCTTCTTCTGTGGCTACCATAGAGAAAAAGAAGACCATCTCGGAAGCTATGAGTAATAGTTCTGTTGATAGAGAACTGCAATTAGCAATCATAATAGCATCACTCACTGTGTACATTCTTGGAATTTTCTTGCCTTGACCAATTTGTGAAGGAGTACTCATTTGTTTCAAATGGTATACTCTCTTTCAGAAAGATTTCCTGAACTCTTAAGTCCCGATTACAAATATTCTCTTTCAGCATCTTGTAAAGTACCTGTGAAAAAAGCCACTGTGGTGTACCAAGGGGAGAGAGTAAAGATTCAGGAAAAATTTAAGAATGGAATGCTGCATGGTGATAAAGTTTCTTTCTTCTGCAAAAATAAGGAAAAGAAGTGTAGCTATACAGAGGATGCTCAGTGTATAGACGGCACTTTTGAAGTCCCCAAATGCTTCAAGGGTAAGTCTACACTGGAATGTTTAGCTAGGACTCCCACTTACGGCTCATCATAATCAGAGCCTTTGTTATAGAATGATTGTCAAAAACCAGATGAGGCCAGGTGTGATGACTCATGCCTATAATCTCAGCACTTTGGGAGGCCAAGGTGGGCAGATCACCTGAGGTGAGCAGTTCAAGAACAGCCTGGCCAACATGGTGAAACTAAAATACAAAAATTAGTTGGGTATGGTGGCTGTAATTCCAGCTACTCAGGAGGCTGTAATCCCAGCTGCTTGGGAGACTGAGGCAGGAGAATCACTTGCACCCAGGGAGCAGAAGTTGCAGTGAACCAAGACTGTGCCGTTGCATTCCAGCTTGGGCAACAGAGTGAAACTCCATCTCAAAACAAAAACAAACAAACAAACAAACAAACAAACAAACAAACAAACAAAATCACCAGATGAATTTGGCCACTGGATTTTTAAAAAGAAAGGCAAGAGGGAGAAACAATGATAAGAAGCAGTGAGCTGCAGATGGTGTGTTCACTTGCATTCTCCTTTCCATTTTTTTTTTTGAGGCAGGGTCTCACTCTGTCACTCAGGCTGGGATGCAGTGGTATGATCACATCTCACTGCAGCCTTGACTTTCCAGGCTCAAGTGATCCTTTCACTTCGGCCTTCTGAAGTGAAGGGATTACAGGCAGGCGCCACCATGCCAAGCTATTTTTTGTTTTCTTATTAGGGAAGAGATTACACCGTGTTGCCAAGGCTGGTCGTGAACCCTTGGGCTCAAGCAATCCCCCTGCCTCAGTCTCCCAAAGTGCTGGTATTACAGGCATGAGCTATGTGCCCAGCTTCTTTTCCAATTCTTTTCTGTAAAACTCCACATTCTGGTTTTATTCAATGAATGCTGAGGTGAATTATGCCATCTTGTATAATTTCAAGTAGAGCTTGAATAATAATGAACCAAATATTGAAAAATAAGAATATCTACCTTATCTTGCTCCCACAGTATAAAGAACTCACCCCAAGTTACAAAACGACTCATGGCAATGATGGTTGGTCTAAAGATCTAACATTTCCCCCTTTCTCCAGCAATTCCTAGAGAGTATCCATTAGAGCAAAGCATCCATTAGAGCAACATATTTTAAGGAAGATGGTACCAGGTTTGTGTGAGATAAAGAAGTGTGTATTTAGAGCAGCATTTAGAGCTGCTAACCTTTCAAGGTTTCGGATTTAGGGTTTAAGTGTCTTTGATGCCAGGAAGTAAGAACCAGCCAGAGGCTAAAACTGTTATTGGCTCTAGGTTTAGAAATCTTTCAAAAATATTGACAATCTTGTTTTAGCAGCTGGGAGAGGACAGTAGGGAGCAGACAAAGCTAAGAAGAGAGGAGTCTGAGAGGTGCCCAGCTAGTGGGAGAGAAGGGAATGATAACTGATTAAAAATATCCACTTCATGGGGTTGTTTTGATTATTAGAAATAGGCGGCCGGGTGCGGTGGCTCAAACCTGTAGTCCCAGCACTTTGGGAGGCCGAGGTGAGTGGATCACAAGGTCAAGATATCGAGACCATCCTGGTCAACATGGTGAGACCCCGTCTCTACTAAAGATATAAAAAATTATCTGGGCATGGTGACGCATGCCTGTAATCCCAGCTATTCGGGAGGCTGAGGCAGGAGAATTGCCTGAACCCAGAAGGCGGAGGTTGCAGTGAGCCGAGATTGCGCCATTGCACTCCAGCCTGGGTAACAAGAGCAAAACTCCGTCTCAAAAAAAAAGAAAAAGAAAGAAATAGGCATGACATGGAGTAACATAATTTTAATTACAAATAGTTAGAAATGCACTGAATAAATTGCAGTTGTTCGAAAGATAGCAGAGCCCTGGTGAGATGTTAAATACAAAATAAGACAAAATACAATAAGCTTAAATACAAATCTGTAGAAAAAAAATACTAGAAAAGAATAATCTTAAAAAGTCATAGCTTTGTTGATATATTTCTTCAGGATCTTCTCCCTTATGATCTTTAGACAGATGCGGTACCATAAAAGACCGATACATTTTTTTTCCCCTTTAACATTGACTATTGTAGAGCAGTCTTCACTGTATATAAAACCTTTAATTTTATCTCTTGAAAGTGAGGGCCTTGGCCAGGCATGGTGGCTCATGCCTGTAATCCCAGTACTTTGGGAGGCCGAGGCAGATGAATCACTTGAGGTCAGGAGTTTGAGACCAGCCAGGCCAACATGCTGAAATGCTGTCTCTACTAAAAATACAAAGATTAGCTGGGCACAGTGGCATGTGCCTGTAATCCCAGCTACTCAGGAGGTTGAGACAGGAGAATCAGTTAAACCTGGGAGGCGGAGGGTGCCGTGAGCCAAGACCGCGCCACTGCATTCCAGCCTGGGAGACAAGGCAAGACTCCATCTAAAAAAAAAAGAAGGAAATTGAGAGTCTTATCATTTCCCTGATGTTTTCTCCCATCACTTAAACCTCACACTAAATGGATTCATTCACATAATTACATGCACTCTATATACTTGTAAAATGTATTTGATTTGGTTTAGCTATTTAACACATTTAAGAAACGATCATTTCTCTTAGAATGTTTTATTTTTTTCTCCCCCAACAGAACACAGTTCTCTGGCTTTTTGGAAAACTGATGCATCAGATGTAAAGCCATGCTAAAGTGGTTTTCAGATTCAACATAAAATGTCACACTTGAATCTTGCTTATCCAAGGAACTCAATGGAAATTAAAAAATAAAGCTACCGAATTTATTGCTTCAGCCATTGCAGTGTTACTGTCCATGGTAGCTCACTTTTAGTTAACATCATCTGGTTAAGAAATGCAAATATTTGAAACGTTATCCTTTTATGGCTGTGAAATTGACAGTATAAACAATTGTCTGGGTATCTCACTTTTCCTGTGCATAATCCTATTCTTGGCTGGGCAAGGTGGCTTATGTCTGTAATCTCAGCACTTTGGGAGGCCGAGGCGGGCAGATCATCCAAGGTCAGGAGTTTGAGACCAGCCTGGCCAACATGTATTTTTAGTCTCTACTAAAAATACAAAAACTAGCCAGGCATGGTGACATAGGCCTGTAATCCCAGCTACTTGGGAGACTAAGGCAGGAGAATCGCTTGAACCTGGGAGGCAGAGGTTGCAGTGAGCTGAGATTGTGCCACTGCATTCCAGCCTGGGTGACAGAGTGAGACTCCTTCTTAAACAAATAAATAAATATATAAATCATACTCTCAAGCACTTTCAGGTAAAACACCTGCAATACAATATTTTTCATAGAATGGACCACAGATCCCCCTCCCTCCATTACTATTACCTATCGGCTTACTTCAAAGAACAAGTGTTGTGCCCCAGATTGTCAAGAATGGCCCAGAATTCTGCATTTCTGACAAAGTTTCCAGATAGTTCTTGTGTATCCTCAACTTTGAGAAGCACTGCCATACGGAAGTAAACATGGATTCCAGGTCAATAGGACTGGATTTGCATCCTTGATGCTGGGTTTACATAGCACCAAAATTTTTTTCTGTATCCACCACAATTCCATGACCCATCATTGACATCATTCCTTTGCATATATTCAACTCTATTGCCCTTCTCTCCTTTGGTAGTGTTTGCTGGCTGAACTCAACCCTGGCACTATCTGCCTTCCTTATGCCTGCACCTGAGGAGCTGAATGTGGCTGGAATAAAAAGAGAAACTCACAGTCATGCCAACAGGTCCCATTTTAAATTCATAAACACAAACTATGCATGGGCCTCTGGCTCTGCCTGAGAATCCTATCGTATTTCTCTAGTTTGTTTACTCTCTCACTCTCTAAAGTGGCTATTTCTCTTCTTAACCCTCCTGAAGCCACCTTCCTTCTCCTCACCCTTAGCTGATAAGTTGTCTCCTTATTTCACTGATAAAATAGAAAAGATCGTTCTATTCCAAATCCATCAGTCTACCAGTATTGGTAAACATGGAATCTGCCTTCTGTCTGGTTACAGTGGATGAACATCTAGGGACAAACCCTCTCTTTATGTGCTAGGTCTCGTCTTCTCTCTCTTAAGGATTTTTCTCCTCCAATTAGTGCTCATCCATGCTTGTTTTTCCCTTTTTATTAGAACACTTCAATTAGCACACAGATACACAGGAATATCACCCATTAAAAAAAAAGTCCTGTTACTTTACATCATTTTTTCCAGCGACCACCCCAACTCTTTAGTCCTTGTTTTTACAAAAGTCCTGGAGTTATTTCCCTTTGCCATCTTCACTGTGTACTACCCATCACTTCTCCTACAATCTGTGTTCTCCATAGAATTTCTCCACCCATGTGTCTTTCTTAGAACTTAACTGAATTCCATGTGATAGGGACTGGATCTTTTCTCCAAGATGCTTGTCTTCCTTTTACAGAGACCAGAGTGACTCCCCTCCCTTCTAGGCTGTCATTCAAAAGCTCCAGATTCCCTTTTCTTAACCTTAAAAACCAATTTGTTATGAAGGTGCTTTTTTGCATGGATGGTTGTTCTATTTGGTGTCTCTATGAGGGGGATGATCACTGGAGGTCTCTATTTGATCACCTTCCTCCACCTCTGTCTTTGAGCACTTCTTTACTTTTGGTTAAAATACAGTACTCCAAGCGTGTTGTAATTTTTAAACCTCCACTTTCCGCAGTGAGCTGAAGATTATGGTGTTTAGAAATCAAGGTCTGCGTTGTGTCTGGATGTGCTCATTGATACTGAGGCATCACTGCTTCTAGGTGCTCTTCAACAGACAGAGCTAGGAAATACATACATGTATTTATATTATATACACATACACTACTCCTATACATAATAATTAGGTCTGCATTTTGGTAGTATCAGATATTCAGCATGCCCCCCCTCCTTTTTCTTTTGAGATGGAGTTTTGCTCTTGTTGCCCAGGCTGGAGTGCAATGGCATGATTTTGGCTCACAGCAACCTCTGCCTCTCGGGTTCAAGCAATTCTCCTGACTCAGCCTCCCGAGTAGCTGGGATTACAGGCATGCACCATGATGCCTGGCTAATTTTGTATTTTTAGTAGAGACAGGGTTTCACCATGTTGGTCAGGTTAGTCTCAAACTCCTGACCTCAGGTAATCCACCCACCTCAGCCTCCCAAAGTGCTGGGATTACAGGTGTGAGCCACTGCGCCCAGCCTCAGCATGCCTAACTTTGACACCTCAGCACCTCTCTTTTAAACACATAGCACCTTTCCAACACTCCTCCCTTCCTGAGCGTATTCAACCAAGAAGCTCCTGGATAAGGCAAGTTTGTTGAAGGTTGTATTTTGTGTCATTTTATTCACTGAAAGACATTTTAGGCTGTTGGATAGGTTTGGATCCCTGAAAAGTAATCAGAGTAGACTTTAGAGCTTAGACGATAGTCCTGATTCCTCTAATTTAATGATATTTTCACAGAAATAAAAAGCTGCTATTTTTGTAATTGGAAGAGACAATTTGGATTTGAGGAGTCCATCAGTAGAATGTGCCCAATTGCAAGCCCCTCTATTTAGTGACTGTGTGGTCCATTTTGTGCCATAAGTAGATTCCCTTTTTCAAGCATTTTTTCCTCTTAAATGCTTTGATTGCTAGGTTGCCTATCACCACAGTTCTGCTGTACCCTTCCTAGCCATAGTGTGCAGTGATCTCCCCTGCTGGAGACAGTACAGGAAGGACTAGCCATCATAGGTAGCCTAGCAAAGAAAGAACTACAACCACAAGGAGCTGGTTATCATTCTCTATTTTTGCACAGTTGAACTGAATCTTCCCAAAGTAATATTACTCACCTAGCAATCATAGACTAAATGAACTCTATAAACTATATAACTATAACTCTATAAATGCATATAACTATGTAACTATAAACTCTATATATGCATTTGGCTAAGGAGGTCTTCTTCCAAGACAAGTAGGTCTCCGAAGGTGCTTGCCAATGACCATCTTTTTCCTCTTGGTTTATGGCAGGGCAGCTTTCTAAATACAAAGGAATCAATTTATTTTTTATTTTTTATTTTTTTAATTTTGAAACGGAGTTTCGCTCTTGTTACCTAGGTTCGAGTGCAATGGCGCAATCTCGGCTCACCGCAACCTCAGCCTCCTGGGTTCAGGCAATTCTCCTGCCTCAGCCTCCTGAATAGCTGGGATTACAGGCACGCGCCACCATGCCCAGCTAATTTTTGTATTTTTAGTAGAGACGGGGTTTCACCATGTTGACCAGGATGGTCTCGATCTCTTGACCTCGTGATCCACCCGCCTCAGCCTCCCAAAGTGCTGGGATTACAGGCTTGAGCCACCGTGTTTGTTTGTTTTTTAAGATGGAGTCTCTCTCTGTCGTCCAGGCTGGAGGGCAATGGTGTCATCTTGGCTAATTGCAACCTCTGCCTCCTAGGTTCAAGTGATTCTTCTGCCTCAGCCTCCCGAGTAGCTGGGAATACAGGCGGGCGCCATCACGCCTGGCTGACTTTTGTATTTTTAGTAGAGACAGGGTTTCACCATGCTGGCCATGATGGTCTCAATCTCTTGACCTTGTGATCTGCCTGCCTCTGCCTCCCAAAGTGCTGAGATTACAGGTGTGAGCCACTGTGCCCATCCAAGAATCAGTGTTTTAACTTACCTCTTATGCTATATTTCTGCAAGAAGTTTATAATATAATTCTCTTGTTTGTAATATGTTGATCAGTCTTTCAGTATATAGGATCTCATTCTTGTGCCCCGAACTCAATAATAAGTACTATTCCTCAGTGACATTTCCCATCTACTAGCCTGAGGATCATTCCTTGCTTTAATTATTCAATAAAAGATTAAAAAGATAAAAGAAGGAAAGAAAAGGAAAGAAAACAGCTTGAGCTGTGTGCATGTGTGTGCCAGTACGCCTGTGTGTGTGAGTGTGTATGTGATTGGTGTGCAAGTGTGTGAGCCTATTTGTCCCTTTTGTGTGAGTGTGTGAGTATATATGTGGTATGTGTGGTATGCATGTGGATTTGTGTATGTAGTTTGAATGTGTGTGCTTTGTGTATGTGGCCATGCAAATGCATGTGAGTGTGTGTGTGTGTGTGTGTGTGTGTGTGTATGCGCGCATACACATGTACATAATGATTAGTTCTTTGTGTGCTATTGCTGCCTCCTAGTGGTATCTATTCCTTTCCACAGTGCTGGCAAAACAGTTGGTAAGGAAAATAAGACTTGGTATTGAAATCTCCTGTTTCAGGCACTGGGTAAATTTTTCTATATATCTCTCCTCTGTTAACTCAATCTCCGCGATCATTCCATAAGGAAAATAAATAAACTGAAGCTTAGGAAGATTATGTAACTTGGTTAACCCAGGTCACAAAGCTAATAACTGACAGAACCAGATATCTAAACTTCAGAATGATGTCTTTTGTGCCATTTTTATACGGCTAGTTAAGCTACAACTTTTCCCAGTGGCTTCCTGGAAATATTTGCACTTTAATGTTGGAGTTTTACAGCCTACTGCTGAAACAGGTTGGTAGAATTGTTGTATATGCAAGGTTAGGAAGTACCCTAGGTGGTTAGTTTTATGGATACTGGCTAGGGCATTATGATGATATGTATATTACTGAAGGGGAGGGAGAAAGAGTAGCCAGTTTATCACTGTTAATGTCCTATAGCATGAAAAGAGGCTAAGATAGGGAGGAATGAAATGAATATTGCTTAATTCTAGAATAAGGAAGAAATCCAAAGTCATTGTGCTAAAGGCAGTGACTCTTTTTTTAGTAGTGAATAAAAGAAAATATGCCTCATAATT